TAACATTTCAGAATATATTGGATAGGAGTGAACAGGCTCTGATTTGTTCTTCCTTTACTCAGTTGCCTCCCACAAAGTTATAGGAGCTCAATACAGGGTGGACTGTATTAAGGTCAGAGAAGAGTCCTTTCTGAATTTCTCTCTCCACCCCTGTAGCGACTTGTGTTTGGACTTTGTGACTTTATCGAATCTATGGCTAAATCCAGGGAGGATTTACGAGGATGTGATTTTCTACCCAAGACAGTGGTAAAAGAGCCACTGTTGACATTTCATTGGATGGTTAAATATCAACGAAGAAGCATGTAGTTCCATCCTAAGGCTTGTTCTCATCTGTGCAAACCCTCAGAGAGAGGTAACAATTGCCAGCAGTGAGAGGGCAGGAAAGAGGAGCATCTGGACTTAGATGTTAACCAGGAAGCCCCTGAAAATTTTGCAGGCAACTGCCTCCCAGACAATCTCTCAAAATAGAATCTACTAACAGAGAAGTCAGCAGGCATTCCCTGGCCATAACAACTGGGTTCAGAAATCCGAGAACTCTGAATATTGCCAGGGGATCTTGTATCCCCCCTTATGCTTATTTGAGATGGCAATATCACCAGCTTAGCTTCGTGTCATCAGGGGCTTTCTGAGGAACACAAAATTTTTATCACAACAGCTGAGAAATCCTGCAGGAAATCACAACTTTGTGTTTTTGTTTTCTGAGTAAGACCACTGAAGATTCTCTTCTACAAAATGAAAAAAAAATATCTTTTCACCAAAATGTTTATGAGACCAACCTTGGAAGACTAACTTATGATTCCAAGAGCAACATTACTGAGTTTATCAAATTCGTGCTTTAATGAACAGTGAAATTGAGCTAGGAGCAAGTGTCATGGGTGGGAAAATCAACAGCATGGTCTCTGGGAAGCATGAAGCCTGAATGATATGTGGATAATTGCCTAACAGCGATGCAGTAATGCTACCGAACAATCAGTACATTGTGCAAAATGAGGAAGTAAACAGTTTCCAGTGTTGCCACTGCAAGTTCCTTAAACATTCACTGAACTTACGGGGACATTAGATTTTATGACTTGATCCAGGATATCAGATTCCTGTGCTGCTCAGTGGAAAAGATGCATAGAGGAGAAAGAACAATTTGAATGATATGCCTTATTCCACTCCTGTGATGTTCTTACCCCTGTCCTTTTTTGCTCTTGTATAACTGGGACATCAGATGCTGAAATTGGGACAAAGTCAAAAAAATTTTTTTTATTGTTATAAGTCATTTTATTACAGCATAAAATCATACCAGTTAAGTTTTTTAAGATGCAGAATTCTATGCCTACACAGGAAGTGACAGATGATACTTTTGTGAAATTGGCAACGGTCTTCCCTGGAAGCCCTGGGAAATACAAGATGTTTTGCATGGTATTAGTCACAAAAGGCATTTGTAGACAGCCACAAAACAACTGTCCCCAACAAAACACAAGAGGGTGGCGAACGGATGAGAAAGTAGGAAGACCACTGGTCAGATGGCACTGACAGGAGGGTTGACTCCCGAACGTCAAATCCTTATGTCCCAATGGATGAGGGACAGGATCAATTCCCACCACCAACCCATATACAATTCCACTGCATCAAACCCTAAGCAGAGCTGGGAAGATCTAGCTCCACTTCTCTGGAAGCCGAGGGCTGATGGCTCCACAGAGAGATGGCGTAAGGCAGCAGTGGGGGCAGGGTGCCCTGTGTCCCATGAACTGGAATGAAGAAGTCACTCAACAGGTTTGGAGACTCTTTTACATCTCCCAAGGAGTCCGGGTTTAGCGTAGGGGCCAGATGGCAACCATCATCCCCAAAGATGAGAAATAAATTATTTTAACTATGGACATTTTAAATGCTATTAGGTGAGATTAGAACAGCCTTTATTCTAGGACTAAATTTTCCCCACCATTGAGGTGATATCCTTCTGACTGTTCAATTTAGTGTCCTGGGAATTATTCAGTTTTCCCACTGTTGAGGGTGAGCAATCTATGCCTGTCTCTGTATGAGTTCTGAGGATTATTCCCTTGGGTGGTCCCCCAACACCCCAGGTTCAGGTAGTTTTTTTTTTTTCTTTACTCATGTGCTGATCAGAATTCAGGTACAGACTGAAAATGGACCCTCTGCAAACTTCTCTCTCTCTCTCTCTCTCTCTCTCTCTCTCTCTGCATCTGTCTTCTTTGGAACCTGCCTGTAAACCCCTGGCCTCCACAGACTCTGAGTTCTACTTCCTCAACTCAGAGACTCTACCAGGTACCACCTGTGTTCCGGCTCCCTGGGCTTTGATCTAGAAACTCTCTCCAAACAATAAGCCGGGGTAACCACAAGGATCACTTTCTTTGTTGTTGTTTCCCATCTCTTTATTAGGTCACTGTCCTGTGCTACCCAATATCCAATAACTGAAAATCACTGTTTCATGTATTTTGTTTATTTTTTAAGTTCTAGAGGAGGGTAAATCTAGTTCTTGTTATTTCATTTTGGCTGGAAACAGCCCATAGATTTTACATGGGAAAACAACTTTAATTGTTGTTTGCCTTAAACCTTGCTCATGACTCCAAACACAGACTATCCTTTATCTTGAGGATTTGGTTTACCATCTTCAGCATTAGAGAAGATCACTGTCAAGGTCATTATCAATGGGAGCTGACAAGTCTCCTTAATGGCCCTACAGGTGTCTCTGTAGGATTCGTTAGCTACGGGTTGATCACCATGATGGCTAACTCTGGTCTGGAACTTGACTTTTCATATAAATAAGACAGCATCCAATTTGTAGTTTATTATTTTATTTTATTTTTTAAGATTTTATTTATTTATTGATGAGAGTCTCAGAGAGAAAGGCAGAGACAGAGGGAGAGGTGGGCTCCCTGCAGGGAGCCTGATGCGGAACTCAATCCCAGGACCCGGGATCACAACCTGAGCCAAAGACAGACACTCAACCACTGAGACACCCAGGTGCCCCTAATTTGCAGTTTAAAATGATAGTCTCCATTTTTTGAGATATCTCTCTTCTCTCTTTTTTATAGCTGAATCTCCGGAGCATGTAGTAGGGTAACTTTTAGGATGTGTAGTCATTAGGAGATCTGTGAGTATAAATGCATTTCACTTTATTTTAACCTTGTGTTTTGCCCCATCCAGTCTTAAAAATAAGTGTTGCTTCATATACCACAGAACTAGAAGAAATTAGAGTAGTATCAATAAAAATAGATTTTGAGACAATATATTTGAATATACTTTGTTTTCTCTAAATTCTGTTTGATTTCCACTGGAAGCTCCTCTAAGATCTAATAAACTTGAGGCAAATAAACTCCTCTGTGTGTGTATGTATTGAATATGGTGAAAATGAAAATACAAATGGCAGATAATATGAATGTGAACACTGCAAATAGGATAAACTCCTAACAACTTTAGAAGAAAAGGACTTCTCACAAGATACAAATCTTGTATCTTGAAAGGATGTGTTGTTGTATCTTTCTCGTAAAGATACTTTCAATGACCTTTGATACTGGATGAAATATAAATGGTCAAGTTTACTTTTTATACCCCTTAAGCGAGGCTGCCATTTGGCAAGCAGAAGACGGAAGTAGGAAGAAACAGTAGGTAAAATTATTCTGGGTGAAGGTAGGAGTCTGGGGACCAGATGAAATGGTTCAATATCCTAAAAAGTCACTTATCATGTGGCAATCCTGCTATAATCTCCCTAGTAATTCAGCATTGTCTCCTTTTAAGCATTTGTTTTTAATCTAATAAGTCTGAATTACGAAGGAGAATGAGATCATGTTTTGGTTAACCTTGATGTTAACCACGATAAAACTATTTGTTGCTTATTTTATATTTGGAAAATATGATTACTTTAAAAAAAACTACCTTTCTTTTTTACAAGTCAGTGTTATTATTATTTTTCTTATGGTTAACCTAAAGCCCATTCTTTTTTTTTTTAAACCTAAAGTCCATTCTAGTTCATAAAGCCTATCCCAAATAACCCAACTAATTATGATGCATCTTTTTTTTTTCTCAAATTCAAATAGCTAGTATTAATCAGTGATGTATTTGACTGGACACCACCTTGTTAGTTCTTGTATTTATATTAACTACTTAATTTTGTCATCATTTAGTTTGTAAGTTTCTTGAATGCATCATTCTTATATTCTTTTTCTTTGATATTGTTTCATCTTTTTGTTGTTGTTCACTGTTGAGAGCAGATGCTTGATAAATACTTGATAATGGTTGTCTTGAAATCAGTTGAAAGTATTTAAAACTGGATATATCCCTGTCTTCCCTTCTCCCCACCATCATCACTATAGTCCCCTTAAAAGCCTGGAAAAATAAGACAGGAAATAATTGCTTGTGAAGGGTCACACAAGAAGTTAGATTTAAACTGAAAACTGGACGTCAGAGTTTCAAACTCATAATCCTGAACTCGTAATCAAAGGCCACCCAAACTCCATCAATCAATATAAGGAAAGCTTTTGGAAAAGTAAAGCTGCTATTGTCCTGAAGTTAAGTTTGTGACTGTGTATTCGTTGTAGGAAGTAAAGACTATGGATCTCATTAAAATGTCTCTGTCCCCAGCATGTGGAAGACACTAGCAGTGTAAACATTCTTGAAGGGGAACATATACTTTGGGAGAGAAATCCCGTCTGGTCTACCCTTAGATGGAAGGCTGACTACTCTGGAGTGGTCGGTTGTTTTGTTGTATGTGGACAGCTGAGAGTCATTTCCTCATCTTTATTCCAAATGAAGCTGGATACTCCCTTTTCATTTCTGAAAAGTTATCTGTGTCACAAGGGAGCTAGCATGTTTACCCAGTGGGCTCGGAGCCAGCCCAGTGCCGCCTCCTTCTCTTGGTCCTTCCCTCTCTGTTTCCCAATCTCCCTGTTCTAAGATGGGCAGATATGAAAAGTTGCCAATCAGGATGCCAGAGCTTCAAAGGGATCCATCATGAGTGTGCACAAAGGCTCGTTTGTTTAGCACTTGGAAGGAGATGCCAGCGGCTTCCAGGCAGACAGAGAATCGGGGGTTTGTCTTTATTTGACTTCTTGCTTGAACCATCTGGCTGATGAAGTCTTTCTTTTCATCTTGTGGCTTCAGTAAAGTAAGAATGACTAAATAGAAATATCTTTCGGACTTCACTTAACTCCATTTTTAAAGGGACAAATAAGGTCACCTCTGCTTCTGGAACGAACTGAATGACAAGATTTCTAAAAAAAAATATTATTTGCTATTGATAAACCTAATATATTAGATACAGACTTCAGAGATAAACATGGCAGGTGACTGGCAATATAGGGCAGTCTGATTTGTATATTTCGTGAAGGTTTTGGTGGTGTTCTTCACAAACAGAAATCCTTCCACAGCCCCTATAAAGGGTAAAATTCAAGCTAGAGTACTTGGCATTCTACTTTTAGTGTTCATGCCTTTGCCAAAAGATTACCTTTAAAATTCCAACAGTTTGAGGGTGCCTGAGCGGCTCAGTTGGTTAAGCATCCATTCTTGATTTAGGCTCAGACCCTGATCTCAGGGTGGTGAGGTTGAGCCCTGCAAGGGCTCTGAGCTGGGTGTAGAGCCTGTTGAGGATTCTCTCTCTCCCTCTTCCTTGCCCACCCACCCCCAACCCCAAGCATGCTCTCTCTTTCTCTCCCTCTCTAATAAAATAAAATAAAATAAAATAAAATAAAATAAAATAAAATAATAAAATTCCAACAGTTTTGGGAGGATCATGTTAAGCTTCAGCAGTTGTTTGATGCTAGTGTGAATATATTTCAGATCTGTTTGAGAGTATAGGTTTCAATGACAATTAATGGGATCAGAAAGAGTAAGTGTATGTTTGAGAGAAAATGAGTCAGAAAAGAAAGGCAGTGGATTTGGACACTTCTAAGCAGGGCTTAGATGAAAATGAGGCAAAAGAGGCTTCCAGGGCATAGCATATATATATACATATTTTCCCTCTTCTAAGTGCACTTCTAATTATGAAAATTATAAACAATATTAATGAAAGTTATGTTTACATATTTTCCAAAAATAAAACTTACCTATCTGTATACTCACTTTATGGGAGAGTGCCAGGTATAAGTTCTGGGGACATTAGGAAGTTAATTTTGAAAAAAATATGTTTGGAGTCATAAATTGGTATGTGAAAATAAAAATGGTTTAAATTCTTATTAAAATGACTTCAGATTTTTCTAAATTTATTTTTGGCAGAAGGATGAATTGCTGGTCAATATATAATAAATAAATAATTGGTTTGTATTTCCAAATATTAAAACTTCTGGGTAGAAAAGTTAGAAAAAAATCTATTATTTAAAAAAACACTATTAAATGACCTTTTATCACTTAAAATCAAGATCCTTTGTCAGTAACTACTTGGCTCTGGCAGAGAAGTCTGAACTGTTCATGGAAAATGGAATCTCTTCCATTTCATATATAGCTGCCCAAGTGATCTTTTTTGAGAACTGAAAAATTATTAGCTATCCTTTGTGATTCAAGCTCCAGGATAGGCTCTCTCTAAAAAGAAACATACATACACTTAACATCATACCTAATCCTCTTAACAGATTTTCAATGTACAATGCAGAATTGTTAACTACTGGCTCAGTTCTATACAACATATCTCTAGAACTTACCCATCTGGCATTGCTGAAATTTTCTATCCATTGAACAGCATCTCTTTTCCCAGCCCTGGCAACCTCCTTTTCTCTGCTTCCATGAGTTTCACTATTTCAAACACCTCATGCAAAGGGAAGCATGCAGCATTTGTCCTTCTGTGATGGGCCCATTTTGTGCAATATAATGTCTAAGGACAGAATATTTAAAGAGGCATCATTCTCAGCCTCATGCAAGTGTAGGTCGCACACCCGAGAGTGAGGGCCTCCTTAAATTTTGAACCTGGGGAAGCAGACTTGCATCATCCTAGTCCTTTCCCTGCTTATGAGACAAACAGCCACTTTCTATAACTTGCACTGAGACCCTTCCTAGTTCCATAGGAGCAGCTGTAGGTGCAGTAATTCATGCTGGATGAGGAGTGAGAAGAAGTGCACTCTGTTCTCGCTGTGTGCTTTTGAGGTGAGTCTGATTACTTCCCTGAGTATTGTTTTCACCCAGGAAACAGAATTAATATTTACTGTCTATTTTATCTTTCAAGAATTGTGAGGAGTCTGAGATTTTGCTCTAATTGCAAGCTAACAAATTAAGCTGTCACAGTTTCTTGGTTGCTGGCAGAAGACATGTGACTCTCAGGTCAACAACAGGAGGCTTTATTACTGGTGGTAACAGCAGTAACCAGATCATCAGCATTTGTATTGGTTCCTTGAACTGCAATCCCTATAGGGTGGCAAGAAGCAGATCAGATGACTCAGGTACCTGCAGTGGGTTGCTTTACAGGAGATGAGCCCTAAAGTTAAGGAACCAAAGTATTTTATAATGGGCAATAAGAATGCTTGACCTTTGCTCAGAAGAGAAAGATTATCTTTAATTAACTGGATAGTTATGTTTGCTCTTTCCTCCAGCAGAATCTGTAGCATATTTGCCTCCCTGTGTTGGTTAAGATTCTGATAGATTGGTTTTTATTTTGTTGTTTATCCACAGCCAAACTGAATCTTAATTAATATAGAATTTGATATCTTAGATATCTATATTTAATTAATATAGATATTTGATATCTGGAGGTAGAGTGCAATAGCAGAAATTGAGAACATGATCTGGCTTAGCAGTAAGATAGTGAGGGCTCAGATATTTAGGTAGCGAGGGCTCAAGTATTGCAGGCAGACAATTAATAACTTTCATTATGGAATAAGAAACTGCCACATTGTCACCTATTGTCCTTTGGAAGACAAACCATATATGAATTAGAGCTAATGCACTAGGGAATGGTATGAAAAATTCAGAATGTTGGTGTGTGTTTGGTACTTCTTGTCAGTTTAGCAAAGTCTTATAGGAATGAGAAATGGGATCCAAGGCCAGAGAGAGGGGGAAATGCCTCTTCTCTTAGAGTTTCCATATGCAACCTATAGTACACATTGCCTATGAGATATTGAAGGTGTGAGAAAACTCCTTCCATAACTCAAAGCATTTTTAAGCGATCATTACAAAGTGGCACTATTAGTGGGAGATAATACTATATCACCAAACGTTATAGCAAGAGCTCTCTACAGATAATGAGAACTAGACTGACTTAAAATCTTCAGGTTACCAATTTCCCATCCAAGCTCATTTTTTAAGTACTGTCCAAGTTTCTCTCACTCATTTAAGAGAGAAGGCAATAAATAAAGAGGATAGTAAATAAAAGATGAGAGTTGCCAAGCTGAAAAACTAAGTGTAGATAAAATCTTGATTTTTTTTTTGTATGTGAAACTAACTGTAAACAAGTATATCAGAAGCCTACTAAATTGGCAAAGATATTCCAAAGTTAGTCTACAGTATGTGGTTGCAAACCCTTAAGTGAACCTGGTGCCCAGTTGGAGTGGGCTGTGAAAGCTGTACAGGCCCCAAGAAGGTCATATCCTCCAGAACCTACTTCAGTGTGTCAAGAGATGATAGTGGACATGGGTAGCTCTCTCAGGGGGAAAAACCAAGCGTCACAGAAAATGGATAGGAGTATTTCCTCAGAAAGAAGAATCAGAGGTTCCAGAGGAGCTAACCCAGGAACATACTCCACTGTCAGAGTCATATATCTTTTCAGTTCTTCACAAATGGGTTTTATAATCGTTTCGACCTATGTGGGTGTTAGGTTTGCTATTCTTCCAATTTCCAAAAGGAAGGTTTTATTGTGACTATGCAGTCCCTTTTCTGCCATGGTATTTCAAGTTTGTTGGAGGCAGAATTTTTCTTTGTTCTAGGACACCAAACTATGGGGAATACCAACTTACCTGACAGAGAGAACTGTGCATCACCCAGAGATCCTAGACTTTGAGCTTAATGCAGTAACTGGGGAAGACTTTGTGTTGTCTCCACTGGAGAAGGGAGTGTATTCTTGTAGGGAAGGAGTACACATAGATGGAGTCAAGTATCTAAAAAACATAGACAGTAATAAAGACCACTAACTAGCTCTTAAACATCCATTTTCCTCTCCTTTTAATTATGAAATCTTAAATTCATTTTGAGGATCTATTCACTCAACTAAAGGATGATATTTCTCAGCTTTTCATATAGCCTTATGCAGACCTGTGACAAGGTTCTGGCAAATGAGATATAAGAGGTAGTACTTACTACTTATTAAAAGGGATGACACAGGGGCACCTGGGTGGCTTAGTTGGTTGAGCATCCGACTCTTGATCTCAGCTCAAGTCTTGAGCTCAGGGTCATGAGTTCAAGTCCTGAATTGAACTCCTTGCAGGGTGTGGATGCACCCTACTTAAAAATGAATGAATGAACAAATGAATGAATGGATGAAAAATGGTGGATGACACAAGCTTTCTTTTTTCCCCTCCATCCTACTTCCCAGAACATGGATGTAATAGCTCACACTCTAGGTGGCTTTTTGCATGGATAATGCTCCTCACTCTAGGAGTTTGGGAATGAAAGATTGTATAATGTAAGGCTCTAATGAAAAATGAAATGAGAAATCATCCTTGGACTACTGGCCTCCATACCTCTTTTATGTAACAGAGTAACACCTTTTGTGTTTAAGCCACTGTGAATTTGGTTTGCAGATCATATTTAGCTAAATCTACTTTGATAAATGTAAAATTCTACACAAATATGAGGATATTGTTACCATTAGGAGTCCAGAAATTTGTCAGAAAAAAATGGGTGCAAAAATCTTTCCAACTAAAAAAAGTAATATTATTTTATTAATTTTTTAAAAATAATCTTGACAGTGGGATTAGAGTATTCTTATTCTGATATGAACTACCCTATCATATCTTGGTTATTCTACAATTCTAAAATCTTAAGTCCTAGGGCACAGTACTTTGCCATATTCACAGGGACCTCTAATGGAAATACAAGAACAAGGATGTTGCTGAAGGGATAGTGGTAGGCTGAATAATTTGTACCATATGATGATTCCACCTACTATAACACACTTAATTGGACCAAAGTTGGGAAACTAACCAATACAGTCAATACATAGGCAGATTAGTGACCTTTGATTGACAT